TCAGATGCTTGCACGAAAAAATGGACCTGCCCTGCATGGGAGTGTGTGGAGGAGGGCCATCGCACGGCAACGCGATGGCTTGGGACTCTGGAGATGAGAGCTCCAGGTCTGGAAGGTGTTTCAAAATTCAACATTTGCATCCTTTTTCTCTCTCTTAAAATACAGCCTGTTGTTAGACCTGACCTGCAAAAATCAGAGGTTGTACTGCTTCATTTTCTACATTTTTTTTGTAAAGCCATTTGGCCTTGGCTTAAACTCAATCCAGCTGGTGTCTGGTCACAAGTGTGTCCCCCAGGGCTCAGTTTTGGGTCCGGTCTTGTTTAACATCTTTATCAATGATCTGGTGCTAGGCAGGTCTCCACTGTATCAGTCTAAGAATGGAAAAGTCTTTTAAGTAAAATGTAAGCAAGTAGAAACTAAATCTGCAAGAGGTCAGAAGGATTGATTCCTGTAGGCACTTTTGGTGTGAGACAAAAAGCCCTTTTATTTTAAGGAAAATTCCTGTGTGATCTTCTTTCTCAAGTTGATTTAGACTTCTCAGAAACACAGAATAATCAAGACTTGGAACTGTTCCAACTGTCTTTTAAAGGTTTTTGTTATCCGTTTTATATCATGGGAATTCCCCAGCTAAAGACAACCGCCCTAATGAGTGTGGGTGCTGTTGTCTTTTGATTTTATAGCTATTGAACCCAGAAGGATTCCATTTCTCTAATGTTGCATTCACTAGGCATTTGCAACTACACATTGCTACCGGCTGAGTCCCTGTTTACATCTTTCAGCTAGTAATATAATCCTGAGCTGATATTAAGCACTTGCATTCGTTTACCCACAGAGCAAAGTCAATTATTTTCTTGGATCCTCACAGGGCACATAAGCTTTATTACTGTTTTGTGAGTTTACTTGCTATAAAACTCCATACGGAAAGTTTTGCGTATTAAAAAATTTATGTATCAAATGTCCCTCAGGAGTGATATTTGTACTGAGTAGGTGGGTGCTAGTACGAGATAGCTCTTGATCACTACGTATTTAATGTCAGGGGACCTTTAAAGGTCCCTTCCAACCCAAACCATTCTATGATTCTATGATTCTACTATTCTATGATTCTATGATTCAAGGCTGGGCACCCCAGTACTTCGCCTGGGGACAGTGGCACTGAAGATCAGTGTGATGTGGCCACCCTGTACCTGAGTCTAAAGTTCATGGATGGTGAAAGTGGTGAACCCCACACCATACTCCGGAGGACACGCAATGCCTGCTCCCCACCGCAATGGCATCCAGTACCTTCTTCTCCATGATCACCTGGGACATCACTGGAAAAGCGTACCCCATGCGCAAGCCAGGATCCACTGTCAGTACGGGAGTTTGTGTGTGTTACCCTGCTGATGCTGGCATCACTCCTCCAGCCCCAGCAGACTCAAGTCCCCTGTGCTGCATTCAGAAGCACAGCAGTGGCTCCCCCAGGAAGGAAAGCAGGAGGAGCAGAGGAGCCCACGCTCCCCGTGCTTGTCCAGCTCCTTGGGCAGGCTCTGCCCTCCTGATGCACACCCTGACACCCCCTCCGCTGACCCTGCCTGTATCTCCTCCATGCACTGCTTGTGGTCACACTCTGTAGCCCGTGGGGTCACCTCAAACTTAGTGTTGTTCCTGAAGGAGGGAAGAAACGTTCCAACATCTGCAAGGTGGGGGTGAGGGGATCCTTCACCCTGTGCCCCAGCTGATGGGGCTAGTGAGAGGCTCCACATGCCCACCTGGTGAGACACACTGAGCCCTCGTAGCATTTCAGGTTCAAAAGCTGCCACTCCATTGTCCTACAGGTCCTCGTGGACCACTGTAGCTACATCATGGACCATAATGCTGGTAGCCTGGGCACGTGCCTGACACTGGCTCTGGCTCCTTCAGACATGTCAGGTGGCCCCAGGACAGCAATTGCAGAATCTCTTGTGCTGTCTAGATGATCCCTGGCTAGCATTGACCTGATTAAAGACATGAGTAGGCTATTTCTATCTGTGGTGGTAGTTGCAAGACCAGGCTCTACAATATCTGTATTTCAGCCTGGCTTTGACTCTGGGAGCAGTCCTGGGGTTTGAGTGTGCCTTACACACAACTCTGGTTTAGCACAATCACAGCCCAACACATCAGCTCAACATTTCACCAGCAACTTCTGGGTAACAAGTGCACCTTCTTTTGCATCCGTTCCACCACGTGGGGACACCAGTACCCTGGGGAGCACCTTGGCATGGGTTTGCATCGACAAACCACGAGGTCTACAAGCTTGTGAGACCTGGGCACAGGTCTGCTGGAGTCTGGGCTCATGCAGTAGTGTTGGGACACTTGTGCTGAACACTGGAGGAGGACGCTTTTTACCCCGGGCTGGCAGCAGCCTCTGGAGCTTTGAACTCTGGCCAGGACATTGGCATCACTCTGGGGAGGGCAGAGGCATCCTGTGCCACGCTGCAGTGTAGGACAGCAGCCAGCAGGACACATGCCTGTCCCAGCAGGACACATGCCTCGCTGCAGCACCTGCCAACGTCTTCATAGAGCAGCCAGAACTATCCCAGCATCCTGGACTGTACAGACTGCTGGGACACAACCTGATCTCTGTCCGTTGCTTTGGCTGAGACACTGTCACTGCACTTGAGCAGACGCTGTTTTCATGCACCCTGCTCCAGAGTGCTGCTGCACGAGGGATGGCTCCTCAAAAGACCACAGCATGAAGGATGTTTACATGCTATGGCAGAAGATGCCATCCCTCTGCAGCATGCTAGAGGATGCTACACCTTGTGGCTCCTGGGAAGATGCCCTGCTCAGGAAGGGCAGAGCTCTTTACCTCTCATTCCATGCTCCAGAGGATGCTGGTGCTTTGATCTGGCATCCAGAGGTCCTGCTGCCCATGGGGACACTGAAACCACAGAGCAGCACTGCAGGGCACTATTACACTGCAGATCTCCACACTGACGTGGCACTGTGAGGTTGTTAGCACACGACCTTCCAAAATCTGCTGCCAGGGACGCTTCACTCTGCAGTGCACAGCACCACAGCCAAACCCTGACCCGCTGCGCTAACCTGAGAGTCACCCACTCGCAAACAGGTGCTGTGCGTGGCAGGACGGGGACAGCACGCCCGGACGGCAGAGCTGCTGGCCAGCACGCAGCGCCCTGCGCCACGTTCCAGCAGACCTTGGCACAGCGTACTGTGCCATCACAACCACCACGCAACCCCTGCAACACCCTGCGAGACGCCGGAGGAGACCCCAGGGCGCTCTGCCATGTCCCAGAGGATTTCTTCATCCTGCACCACGCTCTGCCATGCCCGAGCACGGCAGCAGCCCTCTGACAGTGGAAAGCCACCGACCCCGGTGGGACAGGAGCAGGACAGGTCGGTGGCAGGGCTGGGAGCTGACTCAGCTGTTCCGGCATGGCTGTGCCACCGAGCACCGGGCGCGGGGAGGGAGGTGCTGGGCGGGGTTTTTTTTGGGGCCTCTGCGGCACTGGGCACTGGTGCTGGCAGGGTCTTGCCTTTCTGCCAGAACGGTTTTTCAAACCCTGGGAAAAGGGGACATTTTTTTCCAAGTCAGACGTAACTTTCTGCCCCGAGCGCTCCCCTCTCCCAGGGCTATGCATCAGGCAGGGTGGAAACGCCACTGGCTGAACCTTCACTCAGCCACCCTCCAGATATTTCACATCCCAGCACTCCCACCCTCCCCAGCTCTCCCCTTTTGTCCCAATAAGGGATCACGTCCATCCCTTCACATCTCGTTTTTGAGGAGGTGGGTGACAGGGGGCTGGTTGCCCTCCACTTGCTGCCTCACTGAAGCTGAGGCTTTCCAGAGCCTTGTTCCCCAAAACTTGATGGCATGTGTTGAAGTAGGCAGAATAAGTTGTCATCCAACAAGTAACACAAGGGAGAAACCTTCAGGATGCCCTCATATCATGGGGTCTGGGATGGGGAGGACAGGCAGCTGCAGCAAGAGGGGAAACAAAATGTCTCGCCAAGGAACAAGCAGCCTTTGAAGATCCACCATCCTGTGCATCCATCCCTTCCCCACCACTCTGGAAAATGTCTCACGGATGCAGTTAAACAACAGCATGGGACGACTTGCCCCAGGAAATGGTCACACAAGCCTTCTGCTGGCTGACAGTCCAGATGCATACACCAGGAGCACTCAGGATTGTGCAGCTGATGTGCGCCCGTGGGCATTGCACGTGGGAGCATGCTACAGAGATGCCCACAGCCAGATGAAAGAGATCTGCACCCCTGAAAGGACGGATAAATGGTCTCCACACTCTGACTTATTTCAAATCTCATTGCATGCTGTCAGAAACACGCAGAGGAGGTCAATACAGTTGGTCTGGGCCCTTTAGGAAGAGGTGGAGATAGGAATGAAAATGGTCTGGAATCAGGGTTTGTGACTAATCCATGGACCAAGAGGCTTGGAAGCAATGCCTCTATCCACGCTGTCCCACAGGGCCAACTCTGGCACAGAAAGGGCCAAGGGGACTTTGGTACAGCAAGAGCAGGGACTAAAGTGGCCATAACTAGATTGCCCCAAACTGCAGCTGGAAAAGCAGGTCAGACCACTAAGGTCTGTTGCAAAACCTCCCAAGGACTGCAGATGTGAGGTGCTGTGAGGCAAGGGGACTGTCAGGAGGTCCTGGACAGTTGCTGCATCCTCTTGCACCCCAGGGAGCGGGTGTGGAACTGCACTCGCTCAGTCGAGCTCTGCTGGGACTGTCCTGTGCCTGTTTCCTCTGGGCTCAGATCTTCAGGATGGAGACAACACCCGCACCCCCTCACCGTTCTCTTTATTTACAGACACAACATCAGCTGGGGGTGTGGAGATGAGAAACGGCACCTTGTGAAGCACCTGCCCACCCAGGCAGTGCTGTGCATGCAGCAAGGTCTTTGCAAGCTCTGTGCTGAGGGAGGGTGGGTAGGCGCACAGTGCAGGCTCCACGACGTGGGGAAGCCAGCTGGTTGACCAAAAGGCAACACACCTCTCCATGGCTGAGCCTCCTTTGCCTTCTGAGTCATCTATTTCCACCGGCCACCCACCATGGTCTTCCCACGGGCAGCCTTTGACCTGGAAGGGAGGCAGAAACGCACTTGCAAAAAAGCATTAGCAACCGTGAAAGGAGGGACAAGAGGAGTGGCACCAGTGGTTCTGCAAAGACGACCTAGCCGTCTCCAGTTGATGCTCACTGCCCTGTGGGGAAGAAGGTCTTCAGTGACCCCAGGTAAAACCCTGGGACGTGAGTCAGTCTGTGTGTTTTGACACTCCATGGGAACAAGCTCATGCATTTTGCCAGGTGTTTGTAAGGACCCTCAATTCCCTTCCTGTGCTTCTCCCTCCCAAGGGTCCTTCAGAGAAGAATTGATGAGTTGGATCTCCAGTTGCAGAGGGATAACAATGGCTGCAGGATCCTTCTCCCAAGAACCAGAAGCTGTGAAGATGTTAGCCAGGACCCACCAGGCCACTCTCCTTAAAGAGCATCAGGGGAACAGGCACTGCTCTGGGCATGGGTCAGCAGAGAGGAGGTGGAGGAGGCTCGGGTGGACAGCAAAGGGCATTTCTGGCACGTCATCCTGAGACTCACCAGCGCAGCTTTGGCTGCCAGTCCATGGCATTGCCTCCCTCCCTCAGCCCTACTGCTAGCCTGATGTCAGCCCTGGTCCATGCAGCACACGTGCAGTGGGACACACACAGCACTCGGGAAATGCCTGTACTCACCCTTTGCTGCAGTAACGGGCCATGTTGGGGCAGAAGAGAAGAAAGATTTGGTGTAAGCGAGCAGGAGATGCTGCTGCCTGACACACGGGTCAAGCTGAGCACCTCTCACGTGAGACAGCAGGGTGGGGTGCGGATGCGAGAGCAGCATGGTGCTCCCTAGAGTGAGGGTCAAACACCCACCTCTACCCTCCTATGAAGTGTTCCCCAGTCCTGTGCAGGGAACATGGGCATGGGGAAAGGCTTCCCTGACCTTGTGGGGCTGCTCAACTCCCACAGCCCATGGGATTTCCCCTCCTACACAAGCTGGGATCTCCAGCCCCTTCCCTGAGATGTTGGGCAGAGCCACTGCAGGGATGGAGGTGGCTGGAGGCTGGCAGGACCCTGCAGGACACAAGACTCCACATGCAGAGGTGGGGTCTCCCCAGGGTCCATCCCCAGCCAGGGTCTCTGGGGTAGGGAGAATCTGGTAGAGGTGGGAGGCCATGGGGTCTGTCAGTGGGAGGAGACCAGCATGGAGCAAGGTTCCTGGTCCATGAACACTGGGTACCAGTGGGACCAGAGGCCGAACTGGGAAGGACAGGAGGTGGCTCTGCAAGGGTGCAAGAGAGCCAGGAGATGCACAGGGAGAAACTGGGGCCAGTGGAGCAGGGAGCTGGAAGGGCAGGAGGTGTTGAGGAAGGATGCTCAGCCTGCCTGGGGACTTACACTTTCTGGTGGTCACTGACACGGTTTCGGAGGACGTTGATCTGCAAAAGAAACACAGGTGGACGTTGTGGCTTGACAAGATACCTCATGCCCGTCCAGGGACATGGGTCAGGGTGAACATGCATCACTGCTCTTTCCTCCCCACCAATTCTTGTGTGGGGTTTAGCACGGGGCTGTGATGTTCAGCACAGTGGGAAGCCTGTTGCGGTGCAAAGCACATGTCCCCAGGAGCTGGGAGGTCACAGGTCCACCACGCAGCCACTTTCACCAGCTGCCACAGCCTCCAGCTTTTCCCAGCTGTGTGCTCAGCCTTGTCAGAGCGGCTGGCAACCACTGGAAGGGTTGGTTTGATCATGCCTCATCTCCAAAAGGGAGGTAGATGTGGCTTTGCTTTCGGTGGTGCAGAGCCTTTTGGGTGTCTGTCACCCCCTGCACAAGCGGCATCCTTTTCTGATGCAGCCAGCTTTCCTGGGACAGCACCATCAGTCAGACAACCCAGCTCGGCTCCCACACGGGGAGCAGAAGAAGCAGCCAGGCACACGGAGGGTGAGAAAGCTCATGGAGGACCTTGCGGCTCACCTCGTATTTCTGGCGCTTGAACTTCTCCTGCAGGTCAAATTTCTCAGCCTCCAGATCACGGATGGTTTGCCATAGCTCCTTGGCCTTGTCCCTGTGGGAAGAGCCGGCTGGTGTCAGTGCAGAAAAGCAATGTGGCTCATGGGGAGCTCCCTGCGGGGGACAGGGCAGTGATGCCACCACCTTGCCTGCTCCCCCAGGATGGGTCTCTGCAGGCTCCACGCCCGGATGGGGAGGCGTTAGCCAGGCGGCGATGCCAGTCCCACGCGTGGACCAGAGCCATGGGTGAGGTCGGGAGGTACGGGGACACGCGTGTCCCACGCGTGTGAGCGTGGCTCCCTCTGATGGCCAGAGCTCTCAGCAGCAGCCTGGCAGTGGTGGCCTGGCACAGCCACGGAGCCCTTGTCCCCAGTGGGTTGTCACAGCCCATCTCCCAGCTATGCCATCACCCTCTTGTCTGGACTGCAAGCTCCAGGCAGCCCACCCCAGCCCAGGATCCTGCCCCGGGAGGTGGGACCCAAAGCAGAGACCCAATCCTGGACACCCCTCCTGCAGCCCATGCTGACCTCAGCTTGTCTTCGTTGAGGTGGTCGATGTTCAGGGGCTTCCGACGTTCACTGAGGATCTTCTTCTTCTTTTCCCGCTCTGTTTGCTTCTTCCCACCCTTTTTCTCTGACTGAGGAAACCATCAGCTCATTGGAGGGAAGGAAATATGCTCAGCCTTTGTCTACCCCTATCCCCAGTTCTGCCCTCAACCCCCTCAGCTTTTGGAACTCCAGAAGCACATGGGGTCCTCAAGGAAATTTTGGCAATAGCGGACAAGACACCCCCTACTCCCATCCCTGTCACTGAGGTGAGGCTGGACCCGCTCTGGCCAGCATCTGCAAAGCAGAGCTCTCAGCTCACTTTGGCCCTCCAACCACTGCTGTGACCCAGCAGCGGTGGCCTGTCTTCTGCTTGTAGAACAACGCTGAGAATGTGTATGGTACTGTGAGGCCAGCCCATGGCTGAGCCCTTCCCAGGAGCACAAGTGGCTTCATTGCAGCCACCTGGAGTAGGATCACACCTTCTGCATGTAGCCTCCAAAATGCAGCATGTTGGACAAAGCTTTCTTCTTCCGCGCTTCTTCCTCAGCCCTCTTCCGAGCCTCCTCTTCCTCTTTGCGAGCTCTTTCTTCCTGCCAGGGTCAGCAATGGGTCAGGAGCAAACAGACAGAGACCTCACAGACCGGCTTGCATGCATCGCACAGCTCGTGCTCCCGTGTGCTCCACGGCCAGGTTTGTGCTACCCAAGACCAGCCCCATCCCTGGAGAGAGACTCACGGCCATGCGGGCTTGGCGCTCCTTCTCCCTCTCGCTGCGAATCCGCTGCTGCTCTGCCCTCTCTGCTCGCCGCTGCTCCTGCAAAAGGAGAGGACGTCAGCTTGGACACCCTGGGAAATCTGCATCCTCTCTGTCCATAGGGACACATCCCTGACCCCCAAAAGCCTTGATAGCCCCACGGGCAGATCTGCTGCTCCCACGTCTCCCAAGGGAGCATGTGGACCAGTGACCATGGGGGAAGGTGGATCTCTGTTAGGCACCGCAGCATCGCAGCAGCCAGACCAGGGACTTCCCAGGCACAGGGTACAAAATCTGGCTTAGATCTTAGTCTCTGTCTTGCAGGGACACGAGATGTCTCAGGTCTTCCTGTCAGGACTGTGGGGAAAGGATCGTGGCCGTGTGCCCACAGGGGAGAGGGTGGCAATAGCAATAGAGGGGGAAGGCTGCAGACATACAATCCTGTCCTTGAGGGAGATGAGCTCCTCTTCTTCCTTCTTCCTGCTCTCAAAGTGGGCTTCAATGAGGGCTTGCAGTTCATTCAGGTCCTTCTCCATGCGCTTGCGATGGATGTCCTACATCGGATAGAAACAGCAGTGATGGCTACACTCTCACAAGTGAAGCCATCCAGGAGCTGCAGAGCTGCTGAGCACAGTGCTGAGGAGCGATCCAAAGGGATCACCTCATGGGGGTTGACACTGAGTGCACTACTTACGTCAAAATCCAGTCTCTCACCATCTGGGATTTTGGGAGGCACCAGGTTTGGCATGAAGACCCTGCAATCGAAGGTGAGCAGGATGCTGAGCCTGCAGCAGATACCTGGGACAGGAGAGTGCCTTTCATCCACGCACCCAGCCCTCCTCTCTGAGCCTCCCAGTCCCCAGGGATGCAGAGTGAGAGCATTTTGAGGACAGGGAGGTGTAACGCTGCTCGCTGGAGGTTGCCAGCTGGACAGCCTCAGAGGAAGACCTCTGGCATTCCCGGGAAGCACTCCAAGGTGCCCGCATGGCTGGGATAACTCTGCAAGCTGCAGGCAACTTGGCCACAACCCTTTGCCAGGCACCCTGGGGCTGGCAGCCACCCCACTGCTCACCCAAAAGAGCAGAGAGCAACTTGGTCCAGTGTGATCTGGCTTAGGGAACCGGAAACCGCCCTCTCATCCTCTGTGAGCTTGAGGGAGGGCAGGAGATGCTCGGTAGGCACACATAAAGATGCAAAGGGATGAAGAGAACAGCTGAGAACAGATCTGCCTCCCACACCACAGCATCCCAAGGGTCCATTAGGATCCGCAAGTTCCTAGCAGTGGTTCATGGCCCTGCTCCTTCAGGCAGGTGCTCCTGTCCCTGAGATGCTGACACTCATGCAGATGCATGCCTCATGCCAGCCATGGCCAGGAGCATACTGCAGCAGCAAGACCCTGACTGTGCCATGGACTATGTACCCCAGGCTGGGGTGCACACAGATTTTGTCCAGCTGCAGGCCCACGGGGCAGCTGGGCTTCCCCCAAGGATCACACAAAATGCTTCAAAACTGCCAAAACACCTCATTCTCAGGATCTTCTTCATATTCCGTATTTCTCTCCTTTTTTCTGACCATGTCTCAGTCCCACCCTGCTTTTGTGCTTTTGAGGCCGCACTGACGCTTTCTGGATCATGGTGCTATGCCCATCACATGGAGCCTCTGCCCTGGCACAGCTCCTAGGTCAGACCTTGCACTAGAGAAAATGCAACAACACTTACTTGGGTCTTGGCTTCGATTCACCTGCAGGTCCCCAGGCATAGGAGAGAAAGACAACATTAGTGTCACAGAGGAGTTTGCTTTCACGCCTTGACCCAAAGCCCGCGACACTGAGCCAAGCTACCCCCTCTCCCAGCAGCACAGGCTGCAGTGTGGATCGTCCTCCAGCAAAGAGGCACGCAATGAGGTGTCCATCTGCGTGCCAAAACCTGAGACACATGTCGATGCTCTTGGCTGAGCAGAAAGGCTTTTGGTACCTCCTTACCCAGGCGAAGGGACAGTCCCTCCCACCCCAGAGGGGAACAAGGATGGATACTTCACCTTCCCCAGGCTCCTGCTCTCGGTCCCCCTCTCCACCTGCTCTCGGTCCCCCTCTCCATCTGTGGAAAACAAAATGCTTTGGCTCCCGGAGACCAGCCCTGCTGTGCACCCTGCCCACGGACACAGTGGGGTGGTTCAGCCAGGCTGCTCCCCTCTGCGCCATGCTTATCCCCACTGCAAACCCCAGCTCCATCCAGGATGAACGGGGAGATAGCAGGTCCCTCACAGATGTCCCTCACTCCCAGACAGACGAGAAGAGACGCGGATTCTCTCCAGGAGAAACCCAGACAAGCTTTGCAAGAGCTCAGGCTGGTAAAGCAGCAGTACTACGTCTCCTTCCATGTTTTGGGTGAATTTCTTACCTAGGCAGCACAAACCCATCCCTCCTGCAGGCCTCCTGCTGCCCCAGCCATGGTGGAAGGATGGGGCCAGGGCAGCTCCACCATTTACTGCAGATTCTCTCTCTTCAGCAGCAAATACATTCAACACCAAAAACCCTGTTACAAGGGCCCAGTGTCTTGGGGAACAGGGATCAGGACTGAAACGGCCAAAACCATCTCTCCTTCACTTCTGCTTTACCTTCTCCTTGTCCTCCCGTTTCATCTTCTTCTTCTGTTTCAAAAGCAATGGGGAGAATATGAGCATCTGTGGGTGAGGGCAGCCACATCCCCCCAGCACAGAGGGGTCCCGGCACCCTAACCTGGGGAGCACGGTTGGGATCTGAGCCTGCCCCACCATCCGTGACAGCACAGGGACACACGTCAGGCAACCCCTTCGGCTCCAAAGAGGTCTCATGAAGTCCAGTGCTCTTTGGATGGTGAGACACATCACAGCATGACCCCAGCTCTGGAAATTCCCCCCTCTAAGGCTACAGGGACCTCTTAGTGGAACAGGCTTAACTCATTTTTGACATTATTTCAGAGTGTTGGACACAAACTCTGTGATCAGCAACCATCAGACAACACCTTTATCCTCATGCTCGCGAGGCCAAGACACTCAGCAGATCAGCAAAGGGCAGCTCATTTTTGACACCCCGTTACTGGAAGCCACAGATATGGGGGAGAGCTGCCCCTCTGTGCTGCTGGCCTGCTGTCACAGGCCACGCTGGGACATCCCAGACCCTGCTCGGCAGCCCGCTGAGGAAGATCAAGGCTCCAGCCAAGCCGTGAGAGCTCCCTGGCGAAGCCACCACTCACCTTCTTCCTTCGTTTCTTCAGCCTCCTCCTCCTCCACCTCCTCTATCTGTTCTTCTTGACCTGTGGAAGAATGGGCAGCATGAGTCCAACAGCCGCTTTTCCCACTGGCTCTCCACAGACCCCGGTGTCAGGACAACTGCAGCCGGCCAAGAGTGAGACCCAGGGGAGACGTAGCCACAGGAGAAAGAAACAGCAGCTCAGAAGGAATAGGGCTTGGCTCTAACCTTTACCCAAGGGCTGCTCTCTGTGCTTGGGCAGGGCAAAAAAAATAAAATCAAAGGGCTTATAGCCACGTCTTGGTTTTTCCCTCATTCCCTCTCCTGCTATCTGCTCTTGTACCCCAGGATGGCGGAGGAGTGATTTCTATTCCTCTCCTCTAACCAGCAAAGAACAAGACTGGCTGGCATCACAGAAAGTGCCTTCGGCAGCTTCACAATCTCATTTATGACACTGTTGGAGCATTTTTCCACTGGAGGGAGCAGTGTCCCCACAAGAGTCCTCCACTGGAGTCAGAACGATGCTGGGGCCCACAGGTCCTGGGAAGACTTGTGGTCCCACAGCAAGAGAGAAGGAAAGAAAAAGAAGATAGCAAACCATGAGTGCATTTGGTTGAGAGATGTAAGAGAGAAGCAACAGACACGGGAGCAGATATGCACAGCATAGCAGGGCAGGAAGGGGGGAGTGCAAGAAGCAAGAGAGAGAAGTGGAAGAATGAAAGAAAACCATTTTCCAACCAGGGGGAGGCAAAAGACACACCGACCCACGACATATTCACAGCAGCAGTGGAGAGACGAAATAAAGAAAGGTGCAATAACTACCGTCTTCTTCCTCTATCCATTCTTCCTCTTCTGAGCCAGGGAGGAGGGAAAGGAATAAGGGCAGAGGTTAGCTGGATGCCGAAAAGCTGTGGAGTGTAGCTATGGTGTGCAGGAGACAAGGACTCTGCAGTGGTTTCCCCCTTTTGCCTCTCTTTGCTTTTCGCGTTCAGGATGTTTTGCTGTGCAGCAGCCCGGGCTGCCTGGCAGTGCCCTGAAGCAGTAAGAGGCTCAGCAAAACCCAGCTCCCAAACCCAGCCCCAAACGCACGGCCCAGGTGTGTCCCAGAGCGGCTGCGAGCACCGTGGGGTTTGCTTCTTCACCGGACTGATCAGCTGGAGCTTTGTGCTTGAGCATCGTTAACCTACGCTCAGCTGAGGCTCCAGCTGCCGTTGGTATTGGGCTCACACCACTGCCAAAGCCCGAGTCCAGCATTTCCACCCATTTTGAGTCAAGGGATCACCCTGACAAAAGAGATTCTGAAAAAATTCAGACTGGTTGTGATCCTACCGATGTTTCAGGTGGAGAAATCTAGAACGTGGTCTCACCTGCCTTTGCTGGTCATGATTTGCCCATTGCAGTCAAGACCTTACCACCACAACCCACCCAAGCAAAACACTGGACCAACAGCATTTGTCTTTTGGTCCTAGCACCTACCTTCTTCCACGTACTCCTCTTCACAGAGCACACGTGAGCGTGGGAGAGAGGGAAGGGAAACAAGACGCAGGTTATTGAAGTGGCTCTGATCATTTCTTAGCTTCAGGCTCGGGACAGCTGCGGATGCTCCATCTCCTCTTACCTTCCTGCTCCCTGCAAAGCACAACACAGATTTGCAGAGTTACAGCAGTCGGCTGCAACGGGCCACATGTGTCCATCGGTGAGGCCAAAGGGGAGTCTGAAATCTCCTCCAGGCTGGCTCCCCTTTTTCATAGCAATGGGCAACGGCTGCTGGGCAGGCTGCTGCGAGGCGTGATGTAAGGCGGCACTGGGGACAGGACAAGACCCAGATCACTGCGCAGGCTGCAGAGAGCAGGAGCTGAAGTGTTCAGCTGACACTTGAACAGTGGTTAGAGCACAACACTGCTTTGCAGCTTGAGAAGATCGAGTGACCATGGCTTGTAATCCTAGAAACAGGCATCTCGCGTCCCACCTCTGCCCCAAAGTTCTTTCCTGACCTTGGGGAGATGTGCAGTCTGTCCCTGGGTGTGTCCAGGGGATGCTGGGCACAGGGGTCAGACCGATTATTGACACATGCGACTCTGTCGTGGCATTTAAACATAAGAGAAGGACTCAGATCTACTTTTTCTGCAGGTGAGTGAGAAGTGGGAGCTGTGTTTGGACCGATCCCTATAACTGTGCGTCACACATATTGAGCCCCTTCTCTCCAGGGTGCACCTCATGGCCCAGCAGCCCTCACCAGCAGAAGGTGCCCCCACGTTTGGGCCCTGGGGAGTGATGCTCTGGGTGTGGCAGCAGGACCCCAGCAGCAGCAGACTGATGGCATCAGCTATTCCCAGATCTATCGGACTGAGACCGCAGCATGGTTAATGCAGGGTCTATGCCTTGCCATGTGTGTGCCATTATGGCTCCTAAGGCAAAACTCCCCACTGCTGGGGGTCTCGGCACTGCCATGGCAGCGGTGCAGACGGGCACAGGGTAGGGGAACCCCAAGGCCCTTTCACGCTGCGTGCTGGGGTAATGACGAGGGCCGGTGCCCCCCAAACAGCCCCCCTAAGCAATGCTGCAGCCCTGCGGGAAGGCAGGAATAAGGGGAAAGAAAGGGTGTTTAAAAACACATCACTTACTGCTCATATTCTTCAACAACCTCTTCGGAGTCCGACATGCCTGGTTATCTAGCAGAATTGAAGGCAGATTGGAGAAAGCGAGTGTTAGGAGCTGAGATAAGGACAGGCACAGCCTGACCTCCAGCGCCCCAGACGCGGGCACAGAGATGCTGCGTCTCTCCAAAGCGCTCGGTGCTTCCAGCTGTCCCCAGCCGGGCTGTGACAGCCTTATCTGAACAGAGATAAGGTTCCCCCCTCCCCTCCCGTCCCAGGATCACAGCTTGCCCCAAACCGGAGGCAGGAGATTAGACACAGCCTCACGCAACACCGATAATCGCTGTCAGGAGCTGGGTCCAGGACACGCAGCTCCCCTCACCGCAGCCATCTCGGGGTGCTGTGTTTGCTCAGGGCATGGGAAAATAACCCAGTTGTAATGCTCAGCTTGTTTTGCTTCCTGACTATTCTTAGCTCGATAGGACCTTCTCCGTTATCTCAGATTTACAGCGCTGCACAAGCCACAGCTTGAGACCTCGGTGAGCCCTCCCAGCCCAGCCCTCCAAGTGCAGAGCGTGCTCTGGAGAAGGGGGATCTGGGCTCAGCAGGAGCATTTGTCTTCTGGTTCTGGCCCTGAGACTGAAGTTAGCTGAAAGGAGTAATTCACAGCCTGGTTTACCAACAGGACTAATAACTGCAGAAACGGCCGTGCTCATCTTCCCAGCACACCCGTCCTCCGCCCAGCCGTGGCCAGGAGGACTTTACTCACCATCCCACCTCGTCAGGCTTCCACCCAGTGCTCCACTGCAAGGGCTGCACAGACCAGCCCCGTGATCACCCCCGGCCCTGGGCATCCTGAAGCAGCCCTGAGCATCACCCCAAGACCCTGCACAGCCTGCCCACTGCTCGCCTTCACGCCAGACCTCAGCAAAGCCGAGCCGCAGCAGGACAACGCAAGGCAGCTCTAGAAATAACTCCCATGTGCTAAACCACCTGTTCCCAGAGCCGCGCCGCTTCACTGCTCCTGCTGCTGGGCGTCTGGGAGCAACTGGTCCTGGCTACATCTGTTGAGAATTTATTACCCGGGATGGGTAGGATAGGCTTTGGGGTCGCTTATTCAAGATGCTGAATCCAGGACTGGAATCCGCAAGCAGGGGAAGGATGCGTTACAGGAGGGGTGCCTCTGCATACCCGTGGCTCCCGGAGGGGTTGTCAAATGTCACTTCTGAGCAGTGACTCAGAAGGTGCTTTTTGGAGACAAATGAAGTCAGAACTCAGCCCCGTCTGCCTTCGTTTCACCACCTGCTTCTGCTGTTGTTGTTCTCTTCCCTTTGATGGATCTGGGGTTTGGCCCTAAGCACCCCCCTCCAGCACCATCCCCTCGATCTCTGCTCCCTGCCGAACATCAGTTCCTGGCCCTGCTTTTCCCCGAGCCTAGGCAAGGTCCTGCTACCCTCAGAGTTTGGCCAGATCATTTCTGTGGCCTCTGAGCACCCAAGACTTCAGGTGCTCCTCTCACGACACCACACAAGAGCGGAGACTCCCTCCCGGCCACGACAGCACAAACATCCATTTGCGAAAGCCGATTTCTGCATTTCCACTCACCTCCTCTCTCATACATCGCTAGATCCCACACAGCATTTGCTGAGGAACAGCAACAAAAACAACACTTTAAGGGGGGGTACACAAGAAAAAAAGCAGCTCTAGGAAATACTTCTCCATCCTCTATGCAGAAACATAAACCTTTCCTTTAAAGCTTTGAAAACTTATTTTGAAAGAATTAGAACCCAGCAGACATATGACAGAGTTAAAGAGGAAACACTGCGCATATTATTGACTGCAAAAAATCTCCCATGATTTGCTGTGTATTAAATACTTCAGATATCCCTCCCGCTCCTTAAAATCCCCCTCTCGGTGAGCTCAGGGCTGGCTGATCACACCTCTGGGGCTGAGTTAATCCCCCACGGTTCGCAGGCCCTGCTGCCCTCCAGGCTGCCCAGGCATGGAGCTCTCATTTCCCGACATTTCTCCTGCATGGGTCACGTCGCTGCTGCCTTGGCAGGGTCAGACCACCTCTAACCCACCCCGTGGGCTGCCAGCGAGGCAGGGCCAGCACAGGCATCACATCCCTCCTGTCCCCTCCAGAGACACAGGGAACAGCGAGCTGTGAGATTCCCCTGGCACGAGGGCAGCCAAACCCTGCTCAGCCACCTTGGCACACATGAGGGTGGTTCAAAAGGTATTGGGCAAGCTGCAAATACCCCCTGGAGAGGGTCCTGGTGCTGTATCCATGGGGATGCCTTCATGGCACAAACACAGCCCTATGCAAGTGGCTGGGGAGGACCGTTCAGCCTGCGCCAAATCACTTCTGGGTCTTCAACAACTGCCCTTCCACCGAGCACCCTACGGCGCGAGCGGGCACCCCAGCCTTACCTCTGCGGTGGGGCACCGGCAAGATCCCGGGGAGCTGAGGGGAAGCCGGCGGGCGGCTGGGAAACGCTCCTTGGGGG